AGAAGCCATTTGGCCATGAATGCATGTTAACACTTCTTCTTGAAGCCAGAGTTTCTAATGGAAAAAATAAGATCCCTTTCTTTTAAGCTTTGCTCTTTGTGTACAGCACTCTGGAATGCTGCAATTTCTCAGGTGGACAGAAAGAAGTACCTATGGGAGAAGCTCTGTGCTACTTCACAGGGGCAAACACATGCTTTTTAATATACCTTGGCCAGTAAACGTCTTCCTGATAACAAATTAAGGGCCAGATTGTCAGTTCTGCCACACATGCTGTGGATGGATCGTTACTGGTCAGGAGCCTCTGGTGCAGTTTAGGGCAACCCATTACAAAATGTTGTGCTTGTGTTGTTGCCCCACTTTAACCCAAGTCCTGATCATGCAGAAGGACAAGGACACTGAAGTAATCTTTTTCCCAACTGTGCCTTGGAGGAAGCCAGAGCTCAGAAAAACTCTGTGCCATTATCTTTCATACTCTGATATCCTTTACTCTGAATTTCATCCAGCAGTGATTCATGTATACAAGATTTTAATCATTATAGTTTCAGTTCCGGCTGACTAATGCTGGTAAAGGACAAAAGATGGCTTAAAAGGTACTGCAACTGTTAATACAGACATGGCTCTTACAGATTGTTCAGCAATCTCTGCCTCTCTTTTAACGAATTTATATATTTGTGTGTGCAGGTACATATTCATATTTTAATCTGCTAAGTTCAGAATTGGGCCACTTTGACTATTCTATTGTATTTCAGCTTCTGTACTATGCCTATTCCCACAATATTTGAATATCTTCCAATAATGATTAAGTTCATTCATGTTCTCTGTTCCACTCTGGAGGGTAGAAGAGGATGTAATGCAGGTTTTACTTGTGAGTGTTTGCTGGACTTTTGGTAATATGTATGCAGATTGTTCTATCCTTATATTGTTTAGAGGACTCACACTCCAAAGGATGCTCTTCACTAATCCACCAGCAATCTTCGGTGAAGTACTCTGGCCAGAAGTTTTACCTCTCAGATACAAAGCAAAATTTTGCTTATGTGGAGAATCTAGAGTATTGCCAGTAAACGCTTATACATGTTCTGAAAGTAAGATCACAGAATCAAAGAATCACAGAATGGGTGAGATTGGAAGTGACCACTGGTGTCGCCATCTAGTCCAACCTCCCTGCTTAGGCCAGGTTTCCTAAAGCACGTTGCACAGGATTGCACCCATATGGTTCTGAAGTATCTCGAGGAAGGGAGACTCTACACCCTCTGGGCAATCTCTTCCAGTGCTCAGTCACCCACACAGTAAAGTTCTCATATTCAGGATTTTCTCGTGCATCAGTTTCTGCCTATTGTCTCTTGTCCTGTTGCTTGGCACCAACGAGAAGAGTCTGGATCCATCTTCTTGACACCCTCCCTTCAGATACTTGTATACATTGATGAAGTCCCCTCTCAACTGTCTGTTCTTAAGGCTGAGCAGGCCCAGCTCCCTCAGCTTTTTTTTATAAGTGAGATGCTTCTGTCCTCTCATCATCTTCATAGCCCTCTGCTGACCCTGCGCCAGGAGCTCTGTGCAGAGGTAAATATTTTATTCCTATAGGTAAATATATTATTCCTATTTTCTTCCTTTTCATTCCTTATTGTTTTTTTCTTATTTTGCAACACAGCTGATGTTTTTGGTTTAATGAAACATGGTATTGTGCAGGGGATTATCAGAGAAGTTAGATTCTTTATACAAAAGCAGAATAAGCTCTCACTATTGTGGTTTTATGTTCTACCTGGAATTATTCAGAAAGGGAAGAAAGGATATTCTTTGAGTTATTATTGTTTTATAAAGCAACTTTAAGGATGTTCTTCCCTATCTCCTTGCTCACCTTTTGTATCCAGGACTTGCATGTATCCCTGTTGCTGTGCTCTAGGTCTAACTCTGCATCTTGCTTGGTCAGCCTGATATTTTTTGTTACATGAATGCCATGCCTACATGAGCTATGCACTCATAACCTCAGCAGCAACAAGGCATATTCAGCATCACAAAACTGAGTTCTTCATCAGGAGGAACAGCCAGCCCCTGCACAAGGCTGGGGTCAAGGCACTGTGCTGAGACTTGTGCCTGTCATTCTGTAAGCAGGCAATGTGCAAGACACCTTGCAAAGATCTGGTGGGAGTCCTCTACCCTTCAACTTCATATGCCACTCCTGAAACCCCAGAGAGCTGCACTGCAGTGCTCTGCATATCAACGTGCCTCAGGAGGTGTGCAGGAGCTGAGGGACTTTGTTACATGGAAATGAGTCTTTATCTTTCAGGGTCCTGCTGCATTTGCTGCTTAGCAGATAGTGCCATTCTTCTGCTAAGCTGGACACTAACAACTCCAAGCACCATCTTCCCTTTCCCTGCTGCTGAGCTGAAGAAAATTTGATGTTTTCCTCATCCCCCTGTGGCTGCTAGTTGTATCTGTGCTTACAGTATGAGTTGTAGGAGAAGATGCTTTATTTGGCAAGTATTGAGCCTGGCTGCCTCAGAACTCTTTGCATTATTCACTAAGGAAAAGGGAATGCTGGGCAGTTTTTATCACTCTATGTGACTGATAGCCTGCTCGCGTCTGGGGACAGAGTCCTTAGTACCCTTCTTCTGAACTACATGCTCTATCAAAAACTTTTGCCTTAATGTTCTTTTGTATTCAGAAGTTTGACTATAGCATGCCTGTCTCTTTATAGCATACTTGCACAATGTAAACTATGAACTTAAGCTAACAAACCAGCACCAGGCTCATGCAGTGTGATCTACTGTGTCATCCACAAAGTTGCAAGCAAGAGTGTTCAAAATCATGGGAGCTCTGTTCTATTTTGGGATGAATCTTTCTGAACTTGTGAAAATCTTGTGCCACAGAGGCAGGACTTTGTTGGCTATTTAACAGCCATCAGATCCTCAGCCAAGCTCTCACATATTAGACTTTAATTGGCCAGTGCTACAATCTGTGATTAAAAGAAGTTTTGCTCAATTCAAATACTTCAAAAAGATGCTAAGATTTCCCTTTTGGTATTTAAAGGAGTTGGTTAATATGTTAAATATTTTTAAAAATTAAAGCTTAGGATTTCAACAGAAAAGAGCATCAGTGACTTTCTACCTAATTTATAACCACAGATATGAAACTGGTCCATCTCCACTAGTTTTCAAGTGTGTTCATATTTTTCTGCCACAATAAGACACTGGTGTTGCACTCCCCAGTCTGAATTACGGCAGTTGCTGCTGGGAGGTGGTTTTTCAGACAAAATCAATGCAGGTAAAACTCCTCTCTTGCACTGCATGCATACACCCTGGTCCTCCTCCTGCACATGTGTGGTGCTGTCAAACATCATCCAGGCACACTCCTTTACTGAGTCACAAACTGGTAATCCATTCAGCACAGGCATCCTCCCTGTTTCATATCGAGCACAACAAAAGAAAATGAAGTAAAAACAACTGAAGCCCCAGAGCCTTTATGCACTGCCTCAGAGCTGCCTCTGAGATCATGCTATCACAGAGAGGTCTCCTGTTCTATGGTATCAGTTCACAGTTACTACATGATATGGTAGATTTAGCAAAACAGTAACTTTAAGAATCAGTTGGGACTACTTTTCAACTTAACAAACCATCAGATGAAGATATTTCTGCTCTCATAGATGCACAATGACTGCTCAGCAAGCTCCACTCCTGCAGATTAGATGCAACTATACCAAATGAAGCAGGAAATGTTACAGAAATCCAGTGTCTCCCATCAAACCTCCCTAGTGACCAAACTTTGATGGCTTCACCACAGTACCAGAGGGATGAGGAAAGTGGGTGGAAATGCATTTGTCCTGCAGTCACCTCACAGGAATTAAGACAGTGAAAAGTGAGACAGGTGGAGGTACCTATCATCTTCTCCAGAGTGATTAGTCTTACTGCATGGGGAAAAATCTGAAAAAGTGTCTTGTTGGCCTTACATAGCTGCCATGAGCCCATCAGCTGACTCAGCTGACCTCAAAGTGTGCACTTGAAAAAAGGATGGATACATGTACTTTAAATTACAACCTTACTTAGTTAGCAAACCTTTTTGTACAACTTCAAAGAGTTCTAAGAAGTGGATAAAAAATTTCAAGTACAATACATTCATTAGCATGCATTCTCACCTAGTAAAGACAGTTTCTTTAATCTTCCTTTATTTATTAATCTAGAGCACATTTTATTTATAAAACCTACCATCTGAATAACATTGTATTACCTTTTAATCTAATCAGGAAATACACCTTCTGAATGTTTTATTGAAGTATTCGTTTTTCAGTAGCTGATATATTTTTTCAAAACAAGCTGTTCAAGGCCTAACATCAACATAAAACCAACAAAAGCAAAGGAGGAATGTTGAGTGTATGAGGATGTTAGGTAATATCAGTATTAAAAAGTTTAACGAGCACAAATGATATTGTTGTACATCAGGTTCTTTTTGCTGTTTCTGTAACATAACCTTATGACAGTCACATGCTGTCAAATTGATAACAAGTATAAATGGTCAGACATCCTGATGCATGTTAATTTTTCAGTTCCTTTCAATGACATTCAACAAAAGCATCAAGACAGCTCAAGAGCCCGACCCTACTCTTGCAAGCTGATCAATGCACATAGCTTATAACATAAGACACAGGAGCTCTGGGTGGATGCAAGATCTGTGCTGGTGGATCACTTTACATGGAGGAGGGTCCTTTGTAAGGAAAATATGGACTGTTTATGTTGACAAATAGAAACTGGTTACTCCTGAGGTTAAACTACCCAGGAAACAACTAGATTATACTACTTGCTCCTAGACCTTGTATAAGAGTATTTTCCCAAAGTAAAATCAGTAAGCTATAGAATAGCTTCCTTTAAGCATTTACAACCTATTACATTGCAGATTACTCCCTCAGGCCCTATAAAAAGTCTTCTAGCTGCACAGTTTAGAAATTAATAAATATGGTGTCAAAAATTTGCATTTACTCTAATCCTTGTTTAGTCTATCATTTTGTTTCACTAACACTTTACTACAGAATTAAATGGCAGAAATCTGAGTAATTTTGGTTATTATTAAAATATTGTATATAAACAGGAAAAATCTGAATAAGGCATTCTCAATGCAAGCTTGAGCAATGTACATTTTCACTCCCAGTGGAACTAACATTTCAATTTCTTCCCAGAAGTAGTGGAATGGTTTTTTTGCACGTAAATCCCCAAATACTTTTTCAATTTTACAGATAAAAAGCATTATTTCATACATCAGTTTTAAAAGCATTGGTTTGGTATTTCCTTCCATTTTGTCTGCTCAAGGACTATGGATCTGGAAAGAAACAGTCCAAAGAAACTCACAACACATATAAGACAACTACTTCCATAAAATTAAATGAAACAACATTTTGTTTCAAATGCCATCTAGATAGATGTATATGAAGCATACGGATTATGGTAGGTAGTTATTCATCCCCATATTTTCACCTGCCGGTATTACTGCAAATTACACTGTTTCCATGACATGCCTTATGGAACAGTTTACTATTTTCATAAGCAGTCACATGCATTGAAGGTAGGATCACCAGCCAGAGTATTTGGCACCCCAAAGCAGAACCAGAGAGGTCAAGCTTACGAATCTCCTTGCTGAATGACAAATTAGCTGGTGTGTGAAATGACAGACCTCCATTGACATGAGGAAGCATATCGACCTAAGACATTTCCTCTGGAGCTGCTTCTGCTTCCTGAGTGGGTTTCTTTTCAGGTTTGCCACTGAGGACGGGAGATGGGTTGTGGCTGGGCTTGTTGCTGTCGTGTGCACTGTGACTGCTGGCGCTGCCAAGACGTGTTGATGCCACAACAGCTTTTACTGCAGCCTGGGAGAGAGAAGACCAAGCAAATGTTCCTTAAAAGGCATGAAATGTCAGCAATGCAGCCTCAGCACAGTCCCCTTGGGGAATGTAACTACCTTTAGTCTTCCTGGTAACATCACATACCTGCCTGGGCTTGGACAGATTTAGAAGACCATCTGAAATTCTAGACTGAGGTTTAAAATTGCTGCTGTCACAAGGTTACAAGTTGGACAACATGAACATGACTTCTTTTTTCAGCTGCAAGTGCTGCATATTTTTTTTTTAGAAACTACTTCAGGTTTTCATGTTGAAGTTAGATGGCAAAGAGAAAACCATCTTCTGCCATAATAATAACAGTATCACTACCGATTATTCCATGAAAATTTCACAAACGAAAACAATATTTATTATTATTGAACTATTGCATATGCCAAGCACAATGGTGTGGAGCATACAGGCAACTTCCTAAGGATATACATATAAAACCACTAATTCGGGTAGGCTTTCATATCACGCAAAATATCACAAAATGAAGACAGTCATGAAGACAGTGATATTAGCCCTTGCCTCAAAGAGTTTTATTGCCTGAAAAAACAAACATACGGAGGTGAGGAAAAGAAATCTCTGTGTATGACAGCTCAAGTTACTTTTGACTTGGCTAGATTTTTGCTTAGGCGTCACAGAAGCGGGTCGGTGGGAGGAGATGAGGAGTAGAGCAAGTTTTGTGGATACCTTGGAGAGGTAATCATGCTGAAACAAACAAACAAACAGAAGCAAGGAAATAAAAAGAAAAAAAAAGAAGATGCTAATGACAAACAGACTACATCGTCATTGTCAATAAAAACGAATCAGCTAACACAGAATATGAAGAAAAAGTACCAGTAAAAAGTGGTAAGACTTTTCAAAGTGAGAGTCCAGACCTCTTAAAGCAAAATTCACAGAGATCCCCTTAGTGGTGAGAGGATTTTGGACAACTGATTACAAGAATAGGCCACTCAATGATATTATAACGTCCAAAGATACTTTTAGTGTATCTCTCACAAGCTATATGGATGTTTATGAAATAAATTCAACACAGCTTGTGAAAAACAAAATCATGACTGAGACCTTTAGAGTTATTTAATAAAAAATGTCTTTACATAAAGAAAGCCTGTCTCTGAATTTGTATGTTGGGAAAGAGAGGATAATTTCATATTATTCTTACTAACGAAACAACAACTAAAGCATGTTCTGCTTGAGTTTCTGCTTTGGTCTTATTTTTTTTGGCTAGCAATCAATTGTCTAAACTTTTATGGTTTATTTTACATGTATATATGTGTAAAACTTTTAACTTCACAATAAGTGCTAACTTCAATCAATTCTCTTAATAATTGAAGATTTGATCGTTTAATCTTTAACAGAAAAGCAATGAATAAGCAAACTTATAAAAAGCATTAGCTTTTAGTCACAAAAGAATAAATTGACTACGGGATCTAAATAAACTGGTCTTCAAAAAAATCTTTTTAGTGATCAAAGGTGTAAAACTATAAAGAAACACAAAATCAAAGTATCACTGTGAATTATATGCACAGTCTCTGAGACTTTTGTAAACGACAAAATGTTTTTCTTTGCCCTGTAGAGCTTCTCTGTCACAGTTCCCTATTAATATTGAAAAAAATTAGCAAAAGGAAAGTTAAGGGTCATTTTTTTTGTGAATTTAGTTTGCACAGAGTTTGTAAAGCTCTCAGTTAAGATGCTTTTAACCCTTATTCCCCAAGGCTACAAGGGCAGCTTCACTGTAACCGTTGGTAATAATTTCTGTGCTGAAGTATCCCTGGAAATATCTTCTGAGCAGACACAAATCTTTAACAATTGAAAAAGGGATTTGGGGAGAAGAAAGTTTCCTGATGTTATGTCAGTTAGATGCCTAGCTGCCTGCTGGTAGAGTAACTCAGGGTGGCTTAAAGACCAAAATATGCTACAGTAGATTAAATTTCTTACAGATTTATGGATGCTCATTAAGAAATTATTCAGAATTTTGTTCCTTCTTGTCAGTACTATAAGGATGCCAAGCAGTACAGGACAGACAGATGGACAAAAGGAAGAAAGGAAGAAGGGAAGGAAGGAAGGTAAGAAAATTGTGAAAGTTGTGTGCATTCTCATCAGTTCTATCTGTGTAGACAGAGTTATCAATCCGCTTCACCAATTTTTATTTATTTGGTTTCAGTTATCGACTAAATCAGCTTCCACTTCTTCAGTTTTCATCAGTTACCTTAAATAAAAATCTTCCATACCACTATGGAATGTTGTCCTCAAAAGACATGTAAGTTTTCTGCAAGGCTACTAATTTAATTGCTTGCTTTCATAGCCAAAACAGACACTGTGTGCAGAGACTTGCCTTAAGTTTACGCCGGGCATTGAATTCTTGAAGTTTCTTTTGTGCGTTGTCCATATGTGCAAAATTTGCTGCCTTCCCTGTGACCCATGGGTGCTGCAAAGCCTGTAGAGTGGTGAGGCGTTTCTTGGGGTCTAAAACAATCAACTTTTTAACCTGCATCACAAGCAAGAAACACAAAAGACTATTAACCTTATTCTTCATTTCCATTTATCTAGCTTTGCATTTTGGGGTTCTGGTCCTGGTTTTGGCAAGCATCTTAGGTGAAAGGCATTCTAGGAAACCAACAAGAATTTGCATTTGTGTCTTTGCAAGTATTTTGCTTCTGGCATTTCTTGGTCCTCCATAAATAACATCTGAGTAAGACAGCCATTAAGGGGGAAGAGAGAAGAAAAACAAATCAACCGGTTACCAACGTATTAAGAATAGGTACCAATGCAGCTGACCTGTATCTGCCATAGGGTGTTGCATGTCTGAATTGCCACATAAACCCTAAGAGATTCTCAAAATAACCCCAACCAGGCAGTTTCTCTGAGCAGTGTCTTTACTTTTGTATTTGAACAAGTTTTAAATGGGATTAGAAAGTTTAAATTATAGTGTGTGCAGCTCATGCAGACTTGTACCATGCAGTCACTGTCAGGTACATCATAAATGAAATGTTTCTTTCAGTCTCTCTAAAACCTCTTGTACACATGAACTAAAAACCACTGTACAAGTATTTTTCTCTTAGCCCACCCTGAAACTAATGCTGTTCACACCAGTCTTTCTGTCACCAAGGCCAGTGAAGCTGCACCTCTCCAAACATGAGAGTAGGACATTTTTGGGAACAAGGCACTGCAAACGTACCCCTGGGAGTGGGGTTGGTACAAAGTGTTGGATACAAAGTGTGTCCAGTCAAGCCATCTTTCACGGGTTTTGCTGTTATGTCTGGACTAGTAGAGTTTTGAAAAAAAGAGAAAGGTGGGGATGGAGTAACAAAGTACATAGATGATACTTTGCAGAGCCACACTTACCCAGCTCTCCTGACTGCACACCCTCCTGGAGCAGAGTGCAAGCGATGGCACAGGGCTCCACTGCTGCTTTGTACCCAAGTGTGAGGGAAGACTCGCTTTAGGGTTCTCTGAAATTTCCCTACAAAGAACTATTAAAGAAAGATGGTGCCAGGCATTGTGACGAATCCAGCCTGTTGTGTCTCCATGGAAGAAGTCAAGGTAAACAAATCCCTTCAACTGGACCTCCAGAACTGCCCACAGCGGAAGGTTTTAAGAGTCATGGCCTTCATCCTTATCTACAACTTCCTATACAGTGTTCAAACCTGAAACTTTGAGCTTTATTGTACCAGAACTGTATGGAGCAACTTGGACAAAAGCTCTGTATGCACAATAAATAAGCAGTTTTACTTTCAGGCTGCTGTTTATCTGGCAGTAAATGATATTTTTTTGACTTTAGAATAACTTCGCATCTAATCAAACAACAAAATGTACTTTGAACTTCTACAGTCCTTCCATTTGAAATGTCCTGAAGTACTTCACAAACACCAATTACATAGTATTTTATGACAGAGTTTTGTATAAGTAATATGGAACAGACCATTTGTGTTTTCAATGTTAATGAAATAACTGAATTATGCAAGTGATTATTGACTAAAAATCAGACTCAAGCATACCTATCTCTGCAGATCAGCATCTCCTGAATCCAAATTACTTTATCCAGTAATGAAAGAATGCAGTGCAGATAGCATGTCAGCTCTTGCATTTTGCTAATGGACCATATTTAAAAGTAATCAGCCTTCTCTCAGAGGGACAGAAAAAGTCTGTCAGAAAAGGCAGGGGGAAAAAAGTTTCATTTCCTTTAATATTCTTTCCCTAAAGCTCAGGCTTGAAAACTGAAAAAAAAAAAAAAAAGGACTTGTTTTTACTTTCCCCTGAAGGTTGTTACCCAGAAAAGAGGAATGAGCTTCAGAGCTGGAAAAAAAAGGCAGGCATATATGAACACTGTGACAGCTGCTAACAATCTGGCCGGTTCAGAGAAGGACCTGAACATCCATGGTTTTGAGGGCAAAATTACAGCACTGGACTAACAGGGATATTTAACAGCACCCTAATATGTCAAAGACAAAAAGAAAAGCAAGGGGCTGTACGAACAATTAATTAACCAATTATTCTTCCCCCACCCCAAAAATTGACTCAGTGGAAGTGATACTAGATACTCTGATCTGATTTTTGCTTTACTTACTAAATCCTTGGCATTCAGAGACACATCATCCCACCAGGGGGACACAAAGTCATATTCACAGTTCAGGATTCTCTTAAACATGTACTGATCTCCCCTGTCATCATAAAATGGTTCAAAGCCACAAAGTCTGCAAGGATAAAAAAGAAATAAATTTATCAAAGATTAATTAGTCTTTGGATTGTTAGGAAAAATTCATGGTATTATTTTTCCCTACTTTGTATTCTGTAGACCCCTTTGGAAAACCAGACCTGGCTGTACTCATGAACTCCTAATTCTACAGAGTAGAGAAAAATGTGGTCAAAAGTATTCATAAGCACTGGGAAAGGCTTGTCAAATTGTAAATTTTCCATTTTCAATGTCTTTAATTGGAACTATTAGTACAGGGACTTACCGTAAGAGTAGCCATACACCAGTTGGTATCTGTATACCTTCTATATGCTAACAAATATTTTCTAGCAGCTCTTTGCTCTGCTGGTCTCAGGTCGAAGTCACTTGAACTACCAGTTATTCCTCAGTCTAAAACCTTTGCTCATCACTGCTGTCTGGGTGAGGCTTCTCCCACTATGTGCCTTTTTGAAGTGGGTGCAAATGGGCACATTACTAAGTTACAATTCAGTGTAATGATGTTTTCTATTTTAGTCTTAGTTTCTTTGCTAGAACTTTCTGACCTTACTTTTTTAGACTGTTTACAAGCACAGAGTTAACGTGATCACAGAGTGTTTATCAGAATCTTTGTAACTCTTGCCAGATGAATAGGAATTAGCTGAGGAACCTCATTTTACCTGTTAGAAGGTTTTATATATCCAGTTAGGACTGATTTTTGATTATGTTCATCCCTGTACATTCTTTCATCCTATGATCCACAAAATGTAAAAACCTCTGTCAGGTTTTATTAATCACCCCACATCTTTACTTAGGTAACCTACATACAAACAAGAAATGTGATCTCACTAATGACTGCATTTTTGAATATATTGAATAATACAGATCCCAGCACAGATCCACACTGCTGGCCTCAGGAAAAGCAAACTCACAGAAGTGGTTTCCACCTATATAATGTCCTTTTTTATTGCTTCCTTTTGCTTTAATCATGCTTGCACACATAATCAGATATTTTTAAGTGAATTTCCTATTCAACCAGAATGTGATCTGAGCTAAACAGAAAGTCTATCTGCTACTCTGCCTCCAGCAAATGCAACAAGCAATGAGATGATGACAGGAAAACAACAGCAGATATAATGATCAAGACAGCAAGAAGTCTACAAAATGTAACTTTATAGTTTAACTTGGTTTTGTATTTCTAAACCCAATCAATGTGCTTACTGTCCTGAAACAGGAGACTGGCGCTCAAGGAAGAAATGTGGTTTTGGGAGTGGTGCATAGCTGTGGATGAACAGTTGCATCACATTCCACTGCTGAAGAGGAGAAACACTTCATCGTAAGCACCTTCTGGGCACATTATTAATTTCCAGGTCTGTCAGAGATGTATTAAAACACCAGGATCCAGCCTCCAAACACCATGTGCTTCAGTAGGTGGGAGCTGGCCACAGCACCCCAGCTGTTGCCCTCCTCTTTGCCTCCTGTCCCACTACCATTTCTGGACTTGTATCAGGTCACTGTCATCCCCATGGAACATCTTTGCTGAGAAGCGTTGTTGGGCCCCTCACTGGGTCAGCCCAAACTGGATTTTGGATACCGGGTGACACACAGTACGTTTACATACACACATACATACACACAGTATGTTTAAGACTTCATCTGACTGCACTGAAAATCTCCTAAGTTTTCTCTACTTTCATTGTAACTCACTATTATCACCTTTTGTCTTTTTACAATTTCTATAGATATGCTTCTACTTAAAATAAAAATCCATTTCAGCAGACAGATTTTTTTTTTGCTACATGCCAAATGAGATGAATAAAACTAGAGGTGTGATTTCAAATTAGATTAATAAAAGCAGAGTAAGATTCAATGCAGTTGCTCTTCATTTAATTTTATTTTGAAATATCATTTTATTGTGATGACTCATTTTATATCAATTACATACAAATAGAGAAAAAACCAATGCAAACAGCTACAAAAACAATTTAAAAATGACCAAATGGTGTTTTATCGCCTTTTAAGTTAGTGAAAAGCCATCTTTAACTAAATCCATGTAATTTCAACTACAGGCAAAGCCTCTGTATTTGTTGACCTCTATCTGCATCTCAAACATACCGAAGGATTTCTAATATAGGAATACACAAGGACTGTTCTTTCTGCCTTTTAAAACTGTAACATGTGGCTTCTCTGGAATTATGACAGTTGTCATCAATAGATTAATATAATTTGCCTCAGGAAAAACTGTTCAGTCAAAATATGTGTCAAAGTTTTTCTTAATCAAATGCTAAGTCCATTTCGATTAACAAGAAGATTAATAAGAAGTTTTATGCAGATCTTCTGTAACATGGTTGTTGCTCTTACATCCATTCCAGTTTGGAGGCACATACAGCAAGGTAATTTTTGGACTGTACTGAAGAGCATTCCTTCTATTAAACAATGAGACCAAGATATGCAACACTGTCCTTTAGGCTGCAGGATTAATGAGTTAGTTATTGTACATGTACCATCAGGCCATATTGACCCACAGAGCTTTACATGCAATAGAAGAGCTTTAAATGTGGACTACTGTTAAAGCTAAAAGGAAAATATAGCGAAGTGGATTTTTGCCTGGCTTATTCCTGCACATCAAATTGGATTTCAAGTTGGGAGTAGGAAGGATCATAAGGAGGAAGAATCATAGAATCATAGAATCAGTGGGGTGGGAAGGGACCTCCGAGATCATCAAGTCCAACCCTTGATCCACTACCACCGTGGTTACCAGACCATGGCACTAAGTGCCACATCCAGTCTCATCTTAAAAACCTCCAGGGACAGTGAATCTACCACTTCCCTGGGCAGCCCATTCCAATGCCTGATTACCCTCTCTGTAAATAATTTCTTCCTAATATCCAACCTAAATGTCCCCTGGCACAGCTTAAGACCATGCCCTCTTCTCTTACTAAGAGTTGCCTGGGAGAAGAGATCAACCCCCATCCGGCTACAACCTCCTTTCAGGGAGTTGTAGAGAGTGATGAGGTCTCCCCTGAGCCTCCTCTTCTCCAGGCTGAACAGCCCCAGCTCCCTCAGCCTCTCCTCATAGGACTTGTGCTCGAGTCCCTTCACCAGCCTCGTTCCTTCTCTGGACCTGCTCCAGTACCTCAATATCCTTCCTGAACTGAGGGGCCCAGAACTGGACACAGTACTCAAGACGTGCCCTCACCAGCGCTGAGTACAGGGGAGGGATCACTTCCCTGGTCCCAGTGGCCGCACTGTTCCTGATCCAGGCCAGGATGCCATTGGACTTCTTGGCCACCTGGACACACTGCTGGCTCATGTTCACAAGTGGAAGAATATCCATTCTGTCGGTGTTCCACTCAGAGCAGCAACTCACACATTTGTTTTTACACCAGTGCAGAAGTTCAGTATGTTTTGGGAGCATCTTCTGAACAGCTGGAAGGTTTTGAAAGGCTGCATATAGCAAATGCCACTCCATATATTCAAATAGGAGTTTGATTTCTGTTCTTGCTTGGAGCTTGCCTACACTTGAAACCAAGTTCTGCTTAAGAAAGGAGCTCAGTTTCAAGTACAACAACTTCTTTAAGCCTTGAATAACTAGAAAAGACCAAAGCTTAATCTAAGTGGCTTTATAAAGGGTCAACAAAAGTCATCTCTTCAATCTTAGGGACAGCCTTGCTGACAACATTCACATCTCTCTGCCATGTGTGGAAACCCCAGAACTGACAAGAAATGAGCACCTGGCAGGCAATTTTTGAGATGTGATCTTTTACATAAGGTCTGGATCTTAAACCAGACCCTGAGAAAAAGGGTCACATTTAAAATGGAGAAGATAAAAAAATGGGAAATGGAAGTATTGTAGCCTATTATTTACCAATACATCAAAGAAGAGCTGTGAATTATATGAAGCTTATATACACAACAAAAGATGTTTTATGATATTTCCATCAGAGGGTTTACATATCCTTACATGAACTTTTAGTATAAATCCTAGAGAATGCAATTACTTCTTTGCAAAAGACAAAAAGAAAATAATTCTATTATTACACACTGTACTTACTGGACACAGTTAAAGAGTCCTAGTAAGGGAAACATAATGACCCAGATGTATAAAATCCTCCATATCTTTAATGTACATATGTAAAATCTCATTTTCTTCTCCTAAAAGGCATCCTGCAAGTATTGTATATAACTACACAAGCCATCTTATCATCGCCATTGTCAAGAGACTAAATTAAGTTATTTTTTCTCCCATAAAGGGAAGTATCAATATATTATATAAAATTTTCCCTTCTCAATAATCTTCCTCTGAAAGATTCAATGACACAATAAAGTAATTACAATGCTTACCAACCGTATCATGACTAGCTATACTAAGATGTAGACACAAATGCCTACCTTTAGACATAACTGTTTGAAAATTTTGGTCTATAGTTGCAACTTCAACTGTTTAAAATATGTGTGGCCAGCATTGCTCATAACTCTTTTTCAACATGGTCTTTTGTTATCTTGTAAGAAAAAGAACACTTTGACATTAACCCATCAGACTGATTTGCAGACAGTCCAGGGCTGTTCCCTGCCTCCTGGCTGAGTGCTATGAGACAGCAACACTGATGCTGCAGCTGCAGCTTTGTCAGTGTCTGTGGCTGACACAGGTGGGACAGCTGCATTTGAGAATATTCACAGGCACTGTGAAACTACTGCAAGCACCTTAACTTCTTGTTGTCTCATCTGTAGTCAAGAACCAACTTAGGATCTCTCACAGTTTATGTGAATGAGAAGAAGCCTCCAATGATTTCTGACACTTTCATGCTTGTATTTTTGCTTTCAGTATCTTCACTGGTACTCATTTACTTTAACAGCATGGTTCTGTGCAGGTCTTCCTGTTGTTCAGGAAGGAGTATTATATCTATCAAATACATAACCTGAGTATTTTCCATGCTTCTCTAGGATTTAACTTACTTCAGTAAGATTAGGAATATCATAATTAAAGTTCATTATCTTGTCTTTTTCAATGGCATAACTCATAATATCATAAAATCTTGAGGGTGTTAACAAATTAACCGCTCTGTAGCACCTTCTGCACTTACAGGATGTAGGTGATAATTCCCAGGGACCACATGTCCACCTCAGGGCCGTAGGCACATCCGCGCAGTATCTCTGGTGCTGCAGATGACAAAACACTTGTCAGTAAGATGAAAGCTGAATGAAGAAGTAACAGTCACAAAGTCAATTAAAGTCCATGAACATTCATACCTCTTAAAAAGGTAGGATCTGTTTCTTTAAGCCCTCAATTAGGCAAATTATTCCCTTCACTGAATATAAAATCAAAGAAGTTATGCCCAAGCAGAGCCACAATAAAATGTAAAGCGGACTTTGGTTTCAAATTGCTTTTTAGGTTTGTGAAAAGAACCACTGAAAGCTACATTGTTTTACTTAGTGCTTTTATAAATACATCAACAACAAAAAGAGGGTCAATGAAAATCTCTCCCTTATAGGATGAAGAGGGAAACACTGTAACCAAGGACGAGGGAAAGACTAAGGTACTTAGTACCCTCTTTGCATCAGTCTTAATAGAAAGACTTGTTATCCTCAGGGCAACCAGCCCCCTGAGCTGGCAGACATGGACGGGGAGCAGAACAGACCCAGGAGGAGGTAGTTAGTGACCTGTTGTGCCACTTAGATACTCACAAGTCTATGGGATCAGATGGGATTCACCCAAGGGTACTAGCGGAGCTGGCAGAGGAACTCGCCAAGCCATTCTCCATTGTTTATTATCAGCTCTGGATAACTGGGGAGGTTCCCAGACGACTGGAGGTAAGACAGTGTGATTTCCGCCTACTAGAAGGTCTGGAAGGAGGATTTAGGGAACTACAGACTGATTTTGATGCTGGCAAAGGTCATGGAACAGATTGTCTTGAGAGTAATCACACCAGGGGACCAGTACAGAACAACCAGGGGATCAGGTCCAGCCAGCATGGGTTTAGGAAAGGCAGGTCCTGCTTGACCGTCATATTCTCTTATAACCAGATGATCTGCCAGGTGGATGAGGGAAAAGCTGTGTCTCTTGTGTATCTGAACTTCAGTAAAGCCTTCGAGACTGACTCCCACAGCAATCTTCTGGAGAAACTGGCTGCTCATGGCTTGGACAGGTGCACTGCTTGCTGGGTAAAAAACTGGCTGTGGTGTATGGAGTTACATTCAGCTGGTGGTTGACCACTAGTGGGATTCCCCAAGGCTCAGTGTTGGGGCCAGTCCTTTTTTATATCTTTATCATGATCTGGACAAGGGGGTTGAGTGCACTGCCATTCAGTTTGCAGAACGCACCAAGCAGAAGCACCAAGTTGGGTGTGGATTAGGAAAATTCTACAGAGGGACCTGGACAGGCTGGATTCAGGGCACAAGGCCAGTTGTATGAGGTTCAACAAGACCAAACGCCAGGTCCTGCCCTTGGGTCCCAAAAAACCCCAGCAGCACTACAGGCTGAGGGAAGAGTGGCTGGAAAGCTGCCTGGTGGAAAAGGATCTGAGTGTGCTGCTCAACAGCAGCTGAGCATGAGCCAGCATTGCCCAGGTGGGCAAGAAGGCCAGTGGCATCCTGGCTTGGATCAGCAATACTGTGGCCAGCAGGACGAGGGAAGGGCCTGTCCCCCTGTACTTGGCACTGGTGAGGCCACATCTCAAATCCTGTTCTGGGCCCCTCACTACAAGAAAGCCATTGAGGTGCTGGAGCATGTCCAGAGAAGGGCAATGGAGCTGATGAAGGGTCTGGAGCACAAGTCTGATGAGGAGTGGCTGAGGGAGGTGGGGGTATTCAGTCTGGAGAAGAGGAGGCTTGGGGACACTTTATCACTCTCTCAACTATCTGAGAGGAGGTTGTAACAGGGTGGAGGTTGGTATCTTCTCTCAGGGAACAAGAGATAGGATGAGAGGAAATGGCCTCAAAGCTGTGCCAGGGGAGGTTCAGGTTAATGATCAGGAAGAATTTTCTCACTGAAAGGGTGGTTAAGCTTTGGAGTGGGCTGATCAAGGAGATGGTGGAGTTGCCATCCCTGGAAGGGGCATTTAGTGCTATGGTTTAGTGGACATGGTGGTGTTCAAAGGCTGGGCTTGATGATCTTGGAGGTGTTTTCCAACCTTAACGATTCTATGATTCCATTTACTTAGCATTTTATTTAGGCTTTATTTTTGATATTCTGTTTTAATTGGAAGGAAAGACAGATCGCTTCAGGCAATTTCTTTTGCTGCATTGAGGAGCAGACAGAAAGGCCAGGCAGTTTTGGGGGACTCCAGCTCTGCAATGGTAAAGAAGAGTGAATGTCTGCCCAAGCAGCCTGACAGAAACACCTTGAGGACCTTGGTCCCACTGTATATATGATGCATGTGGGATGGCTGTCATACTTCTGGAGGACAGCGGACTTGTACCTACGTGCACCAACACTGCAGCACGTATGCAATCTCTTCCCCTTCCTGCATTACTCTTGCATGGCCATGAAAAGCAGGTCTTTTAATATTTTTTAGTATTTCCAGAATTTTGCTTTTGGTAAATGGATTTGTCTGACACATTGCTGTGAGTTTAGATATTTCCTGTAACAGACTGATCATGAATCACCGCTCTGGACTGGCTTAGTTTTATGTGCTACTGTCAGAAATCACTTACGCTCCTCTTATTAAGTTCACTGAAAGCACAGTGTTGCAGTAAACTAAGTTCTTCATGACCATCTTTTTGCTTTCAGTCCTCTGCATCAATCTGCACATCTCAGGAACTGTAGACTGGCAAGTCTTGACGCCAGAGTATCCAGACTCCAGTATGTGTTTTTGTTGCTGTGTCCTTTCTGGAAAAGCTGCTGATAGCTGGGTGGGCAGGATGTGGGAGTTAGCAGCCTGAGACTGCCAATTATTCATAGTTTAATTCGGCATTTCAACAGCATTCCACCTGGGTTTCCTCTAGTTCTGGAAAGTAATACTTGAATATATTCTGGGCACCAGGAATTCTGCATGAGCAGTTAACTTGGGTTGTAAACCAAGGATCACAGGTCCATGACTAGAGGCACAAAGCTCCTTTCTTCTCTTCTCCACAGAGATATTCACCCTCAACCCTCCCCACCAAGTTGTCCTGAGTCTGAGGGCTCTTCTATGGGAATAAGCCTTATAATCTATTTTTATCATATACAAAGACAGGCATAAAAAGGGCTAAATACTAACTACAGGTGTATAGCATTTGTAGTATAACTGTCTCAAGAGAGGACAACCAGAACATTAAACACTAATATGTAAAGTATAGTTTTATGAAACTAAGTGGACAGGAATTAGGTGCTGCTCTAAAGCATGACTGGCACCTGTGTGTGCTTGGCAGAGAATGTCATACAAAGTAAATGGATATATCACCTGATTTGCATTATCAGCTGTGCTACGAGATAACAGAATGATCTTATGGTCTTCTCCAGTGTCCTCTTTCATTTGCCTCTACCATTACAAAAGCAAATGCAAATAATGAAACAACATACCACAGTACCCTGGAGTTCCACAAACCGTCTTCATGGTCACCTGATCTTCCACAATCTTAGAAAGTCCAAAGTCAGCTGTTAAGATAATTAGGAATATTAATGTTCTTATTTCCTTGTAAAATAACGTGGTTTTTTTTTTCCATTGTATAACCAATTAAATGAACATTTATGCATGAAGTGAACAGTACTGTCATATACAGAGATAAGCATTGATTTAAAGAATATACCCAGACTGCAATCCAGAAGCAAAATTTGCTGTACAATGAGCATTCCTGTCTTTTCCATGACAGAAACGTAGCTTGTATTTTATTCTGGAGACTACACAAAGCCAGTACAGTGGGACGCCTAAGGGCATACAAGCAGAGATCCAGAAATGCATTTTAGGTATATATTCAGTTTTCACTCTGTGAGTAATCCAATAAAATTATCAGAATAATTGCAAGTTAAAAAATTTTGCATCAGAAATTTCTTGGATAAAGGTCAGAGTATGCAGACCCTGCAAGACAAAATCCCAGCAGTATTTTGATAGAAGCCTGGGGGCATGAAGATGATGACAGAAGAAGTATTGATCATCCTTTCTGCAGAGTTTTCACCCTGTATTACTACTCAAACAGCAAGGGCCATTGTGGCATCACATGTTGTACCTGCATGACTCATTTTTTAAAGCTCATAAAAACTGAAGTCTTCACAACTCTTAATTTTCACCGAAAATAAACCGATTTATTCAAATTTCAGTATGGATGATGACATCTTTGCCTTAAAAACCCCAAAATAAAATTATAACTACTTTGTTATACTGAATATGAAAGGAAATGTTTTAACTCAAATATCAGCATAAAAATAGGTCACTTGTCCCCAAACAGCTATTACTTATGTATTATTATTTATCTAATCAGAAATAGTGTTTACTTTTATAAATACTGCTTTATTCTCTGCAATTTTCTGCATGATTTTCGGTATAAATTCTGTAAGCACCTAGTTTTTTATTGATTTAGAAACTACCATGCACAGTTGTGCTGCCAAAGAAGTAATGCGCTGTTCACTTGAGTACAAGCATTAGCTTCAAATAAAGGGATTGTGAGATGCATGTACTCTAAACACCAGCTAGCACATATTACTGACACAAAAGAATTAGGGAAGCATATATTTAATGCTGCTTACCGATTTTTAGTGGTGCATCTGGAGCTGGTGTTGCATAGAGTAGATTTTCTGGCTTCAAGTCCCGATGCACAATCCCATTTGCATGCAGGTACTGAAAAAAAGAGAAAGCCAAAACATTTAAGTGAGAATAAGATGCTATGGTCAAGCACGAGTTGACATCTTTCTAATAATCTTTAGCAGCAGATTAGTATATGATATATACTAATGATATAATTTTCAGAAGCTTTTTTTCTGCAAACTTGCTCAGCATAGAATCCTTGGATGCATACTCTAATCTGAATAGGAAACTAAAATTTGGGAAGGTAAAGATGGCATCATGTCCATTTGGGAACAAAAACATCTCAGAAAGTATTATTGAATTTTAAATGCAAGCATAGATCCTAGGAAGTAATCTAATAGATGTTTAGATACCAAAGTCAGGCTCAGAGGAAAGTAGTTTCTTCACATTATAACATTCTGGGAGATAAGAAAACGGTCATGTAACTATTAATCTATTAAATAGACACATTTGAGTAGAAAGGATGCAGTATACATCGTGGGGCAACTACAAAATACTTGGGGTCCCTTGCACAGACTTCTCGAGAGTTTTAAAATCACCCAACTGCAGAGTCTCAAAAATCTGTCTTGACAAAGCGCATGCAGTACACATGAATTCACTCACCACTGAATTCCTTCCTTGCACTAACGGAAGGGAAAATTTCTAGAACATATGGCTGTCACTTACACTGCTATGGATAGAAATATATGTATTTATTGACAGAGAAAAAAAAGGATAAACTAGTGTAACAAATTCTGTATTTCTTGTTGATAAAACATCCACACAAACCTTTGAAGTCTTAGAGGAGAGATGCTTAAGGGTAGGGTAACTATCTTATTTGAAAGTCTCGTGGACTACATTTTAGTAGCATTTCTATACTACAAAAGGAAAAACAATCCATGTGCATAGTTACGCAGCAAATGACAAATGGTTGAATATTCACCTAGACAACACAGCTATGGTGTGCACTTGAGTTAGCACTGAGATGAACTCTTCACTGTGTATCTCACTGGAATTTTAGTTTGTATAAATTTTCAGTGATTAAATAACAGTAAAGAAGAATACATTGCTCTGTCCTTGGACATTGTTTTAGAGATAGTGTGGGCTTTTTACGTGTGTGTTTCTCATAATGTAATAAATGTTTTTTGTGGACTTTCTTTAAAATCCTGAAGTCACAGTATTTGCCATGGTGTGACTTTTGGAGATCAGTCAAAAACCCTCATCATCTATCTTACTTCACAGTGCTTATTCCAACTGTGTTTTCTACAGTGACATAGCCAATCAGTTATCCAAGGTAAAACCAGGCAACAATATACGGAAACTGATAGACTGCACACTGTTACATCATTTAATGCAGCCCCATCTGCATGACTGCACACAACCATGTCCTCCGTGGATAAAAATATATCTTCATCTGCCAGTGAAGGCATAACTTTAAAAAGATGCTTCGACAGCGCAGCAGTGATGTGTTTGACGTGTAGAGGTAACAGTGGCACAAAGGGAGTGCAGCAAAAGCCATCAGTATGGAGTGGACAGAAAAAAAGAAATCTGGACAGAAAAAAAGAAATCTAAACTGATCTGTGTTCATGCACTGCAAGTCAGTTTAGCTGCCTCTGTAGGAGTGAGAAGGATCAGACATTCCACAATCAGGTGGTGGAAAGCAGACATTTCCCATTCATTCCTACAAAAAAAATCTTTGACCAAATACATACAGAGAATTTTTCCAGCCAAGTCTGAAGTCTTTTAGCAGGTCCTTTTTCACACATGCCCATAATCTTAAAAACATCTTATGGTGTGAGGCTGAAAACATCAAAATTTTTGTGTCTTCCCAGAAAAGCATTTTTGTGGGAGGTAAATTTGGGAAAAACTTTGTGAGAATCTGTTCAACTTTTTCTCCCTTTTAGTTGTAAAGTGAGACTGGTTCACAGGGCTTCTTCTCAGACATAGCAAGAATCATAACTGACAACATCTGCTAACCACACTTTACCTTCATGACTGACTTTTTAACTGATTTGTATTGAACTTGGAGTGTGAACTGTTTTTTTATTACAGACTCATAATATCCAAGGAAAATTTCCCTTCTCTGTCCAGCCCAGCATTTGCAGAGAACTCACAGGATGGGGGTGCCAACAAATGAGAATTGCCTCAATAATCTAGCCCATGCCTTTCAGACACTGTCACTGCAATAATCTGAGCTCTCTCTCTCTTATTTACCCTCTTCACAACGCCTGCAGCTGCCAGTACACCTCTGCAGTTCACTTCCCCTTATCTTTCCAGCATCCTAGTCCAGAATTCCTGCCCAGCCACACTAATTCCTCTGATATGCATTCCAGTTGTGGCCTGACAAACTTTATATATAATGTATTCATAAACCTATTTGCCATTTCTTTGTAACACAATACCACTCCTGTTTGCTTTTTGATCTGGTGTAACCTTCAAGTCCTTTCTCTTGTATTCCCACTGTCTCTGCAGTCCACACAGATCCTGGCACAGTTGTTACACACCCTAAAATCAGTCTCTGCTGCTCTGTCCTCTCTCTCACCTGCACTGTTTCTCCTTCTTGACTTCATATTTGGGCACAAATGATACCTGTTGTGCTTGGACAAGGCATATGTGTGGCTGGGGCTGCCTCAAGCTGCCAGGTCATAGGTTTAACAAACCTACTGTTGGCATCTTGTATTTTCCATACCATGTCAAATTTTGTTGTGATGGCTATTTGGATGAATAGTTCTGTTGTGAATCAACAGACTAAAGGGCAAAATGAAAAAAAAAAAACAAAAAACCAAACAAAATAAAACTCAAAAATAACCCAGCATTTTTATTGATGCAGATATCCCATTCTTCAACCACAAAAAGTACCAGCTAGAAAGGTGGATCTCCATCTCTCTGAGGGGAGACACAGCTGGCTGGACTTCTGGAAAACGTATCTGAAAAAGGTATCTGGAAAAGGTATCTCCAGACAGCCTTGTACTAAAGGTTTCCAGCAGATGCAGTGACCCGCTGTCCTTCAGCCTGAGCCACCTGTCATTCACTGAGAGTGTTCCAGGCTCCACAACCCTCTTTGAAAGGGATCTTGCGAGACTGTGTCCATTTTCAGCACTGCTTCCTTACTTAGTAGATACTCTGGGACTTTGCAAATTTTCATGAGTCCCAATATGCTCCCCATGTAGCTCCTGGTATTGAAGGCTACTTGGTAATTACATTATCTTGTCAAAGTGTAAACAGTATTCTGAGTTAAACTATCTTGGCTTAGAAACACATTTAGTTAAATTAGCATGATCCACTTTGTCTAGCACTTTTTTCAATTTATATATGTTATATTTTGGTTGCTCTCACTTAATTTCTCACATACTGATTTTAATACACATCATGTTTCCTTGCAGGCAGTGCCTCTGCAGCATAAGTTCTCCCAGTATGGAGTACAGCTCTGGGCATCGTGCACTCTCCTCATAAGACAGATAGCCTTTGCTCTACTCTTTATATGCTATGTCTCTTAATGACTAATGTCATATGTTATGTCTCTTAATGTGATTAGATGAGAAGATCTGGGCACAGGTATCAGGCCAGAACAGTGTAGTGACTCACTTTATGATCTAAGCGTTGCTGAATTACATCACTTTCTCCACCTGTAAGATATGGATGAGATATGGAAAACGTTTTATTTCTGTGGCTGAATAAAGAGTTTATAGATGCACAGCACTGTAGAACAGTTAAATATGGTATGCTTGTTAAAATGTGATCATTATGTGATATTCTTTTAGTAGCTAAAATGTCCTGTTTTCACTTCTGATTTTCAATAAAGAATGCCAGCCAATAAAAGAAAAGTAAGGCATTTCAGATAATTTGGGAGAAAAGTATTACAGCAAAACTGACTATCATAGTCTTCCTTACTTCTTGATAAATTTTGAGGTCAGACTCCTCATGACACCGGGTGATGCTGAGTCTGATATACAGGCCCTTTTCTACAGAACTTACTTGTTAAAATGAAGTCAGCCTTCATGCTGGCCTTTGGAATAAAGGCAGCAACTCATGAAAGAATAATTGCCATGACTACTTATGACTGCAGAAGAAAGACTTTTTTCCCTTTTTTTTTACTAAGCTTTTTTCCAACTGTTGTAAGTTTCTTTTGTTCTTTTGTTTTGTTCCTTAATAATTTAGGTACCTAAATTGAAAGATTTTATGACAAAAGAACAAATGGAGACTGCTTAAAACTCTAGCCTTTTCCCTTAATTTTATTTATGGCACCCATTACACAGAACTGTAGAAAAGTAGAGCTGAAATGAACCTGTATGCTCCTTGGCAGCATCAATTACATCTACAGCAGCTGTTTGTTCAACTTATGCTCACAGACCTCCGCTACTAGAGAATCCACAATTTCCACTGCAAATTTATTACAGGTCTAGGCTTTCTCGACTGCTACAAAGTACTTCCCTGTGATTTACTGGGATCATGACAGGAGTGGATGAAGCCCATTACCTTATTACTTATACGCCTTAGAGGCAGAAAGCAGATTATCCACCTTTTTTCCTTTTGAGTACTTGTTACCACGTACACAATTAGTCTTCTATCGAAGACTGGAGGACCTTAGTTTGCTCAACCTTTTCTAGACCTTTGGTCATTCTTGTTGCTCTCCTCCAGGCAAGTGTCAACTTGCACTAATGTGTTGAAAATGTAAAATGCATTTCAGTTGTGGCCTGATAAATTTTATATATAATGCCTTCATAAATCTATTTGCCATTTTTTTGCAACACATATCACTCCTGTTTGCCTTTTGATCCAGTGTAACTTTCAAGTCCTTTCTCTTTTGTTCCCTCTGTCCTTGACAGTACAAAAAGAACACTGAATTTTACTGAAGTTATTTTATTTCTAATCTTACTCTCCAGCTTTCCCCAATTTTATGGTGTCTAAAATTTTCTATAAGTGTACCTTCTATTCCATCATCTGAGGTTGTCAAAAGGAGGCTAAAAAAGCAGACCAGAGAAGATATTTCCTGAACTTCTCTCTTGATCTTAAGACACACTGATAAACATTCTCTCAGTACAGACAACCAGTCT